GGTTAACGGTTGGACTTGATGATCTTAAAGGTCGTTTTCAAGATGAACAATTCTATGATTCTCCTTAGTAAGAAAGCTATGCATAACCTTATAAAGAATATCCAAATACTAGGGTTTGAGTATAAATTCGTATTACAAAACACCACAAAAATTAACTGAAATCTTTTCCTTAAAGCCAGCTTAACAGTTCAGCATGATCCACAATGTACCTTTACCATAACATAGCTAAAATATTTAAGCTTGTAGAAGTGAGTAGTTTTAATACACAAAGTGAAAAATCTACTAAACAGATTTCTGCATACAACTTTTAATGAAAACTCAGTGAAGGAACATGAGCTAGCAGCAAGATTTTTTTCTTCTTTGTTGTACAGCATTGGATTTACATGCAGCATTATTAAACGGTAAGCTATCTAGACAATAACATATCTAAGATATAAACATCATTTGAAATAAGTCCATTTTCACTAAGGCTATGAGTTAAAATTCCCCATTAAAAACTTGTTTGAATACAAAAATAGGAATCTTAACGGACAAGCAACAGACACACACACATATAGTCTGATCAAAATGTTATGTAATAGAAATTCGGAGTTTACGTATTACAAGAAAAAAATGAGGTAACAGGTTCAGGTCGTGGTTGGCAGAAAATTGAAGACTTTCAAGATTTGTTCCAGAAGAATCCTCTTACATTTTGTTTCTGAAAGTGTTTTATCAGCTTCATGAGGTGCCCTCTTCAAGGGTAAAGAAAAAGCAAGTTCACCAAACCGTTACCAAAAAGCCACAAGCAGCAGTTGCAGAGTTCACCGTTCTATTTTAATATTTGAATTATATTCTAAGGTTGAATAAGCTTAGTATAGTATTTCTTTGGGCTCAGATGACCAGGAATTGTATACTATGCACCATCAAGATTAAAAACTTTTATTTAAAAGCCAATCACATCAGAAGTAGTCAAAATTTTTCAGCAACTTTTTTTCCTCTCTAAATCCCATTTTATGATCAACAGTTTTCAGTTGGGGAAAAAAAATAAAGAAAGAAAATCACAATTTAAAGAATGTGTAAATTATTTTTTAAACAAGGAAGGCATCTAAGGAAACTAAGTTTTACTTAAGAATGAAAATATGTACCTTTTTCAGTCTTAATTATTTTAAATATTGGGTTTGATTAACTAGCTTCTGTTAGAAAAAAGCCTTCCTAGATTAGCTATCATTCAGAAAAGGACTGATCAGTGATTCAGACAAGATTTTTAAAAATTCTAATGCCAGGTTTAGTTTACATTTTAATTTCCTTTGTTCTGGCAACATTTATTCATGAGAGCAGTGCTCAGGCACTGCTCAGCACATTATAGAACGTGGTAGTTTCCAAGTAATATTATTTCATAATTCAACATTAACCATCACAGGTAGTTTAAAAAAAGGCAAGATGTTTTAACTGCAAGAGTTTATCTTCTGTGCAAGGAGTTCTAACTGTTTAAAGTCCTTATCTCTCAAGCAGTTGACTAGAGTTACACTGCTTGTGAACAGCATTAGGACTTTTCAGATGAGGATAAATTGAAGCTACAAGGCTTCTGATCTATTATGGTCATGGGATATGAGTGGGATTGTAGATATATACTGGACAATTTTCATTTCCATACTTACAATTATTTACTGAAATAATAAGAAATTTGAGTTCTAATCATGAAACTGATGACTTAAATAATGCTGGTTTTCAGCTTTTAGGTTAAAGAGGTCAGAAAGTAACTGTTAATACCAATGTAGTCTACACTTAACGCTGCTGAAATAACAGGCCTCAACCACCTACACCTCGACATACAAAGCACAGATAAGAACGCTTGCAGAAGAGGACATATCTGCCCACTGAGGATGTGTTACAACAAAATCAAATTGAACATTTTTCATGTTCTTGGATTAAAAATTACAAGAAGTAAGATGTAGACTGAAGCATGATCTTCACACCTCTGATTTCTGACTTTGTTAAATCCTGTCAGACCCTTCCAGTTCACACAAAGACATTAAAACGCCTTATCTATATAACTGATTTGACAACAGACCCCTTCAAACTTTTACCCCTGTCCTCTGCCACAGACACACCTGCACTCAGCTGAGCTTGCTGACCCTCTCGGCAGCAACGGACTTCCCTCCTCGCCTGCCACTCTCTCCATGCAATGCCATGGCATGTCATCCTGCCCATGAAGCTCCATCAGTTGCTCCATGGATGCCTGGGCTCCTACTGTGCAGCACCACACATGCCTTCCCTTGTGCTCCAGCTTACATTGAGGACCACTCCTTTTGGTCCTTCACAGGGTAAGTATGTACTGTTAATGCCAGAGCAGAATATACCATTCCTATTTATGGGAGGAATGAACTTGCTGTGGCAGTGTTATTTCAGTGAACCATAGCCAGCCTCAGTGGTTGTCACGTCTCCTATAGCTGAACTCACAGGAGGACCACAGTGCCTTTTTTTTTTTGAAAGCACCTAGTAATTGACCAACAGCTCCTGGAGGAAAGGCAAATATGTAAAATGCGTTGTCACACACAAGACAACACTCAAATGCTCTCCCAGCATTCCAGTGATCCTCCTCACACAGAAGCACTGGCTAAAATTTATCTTTGCTGAAACACAATGTGCGGGAAGAAGAGGCTCAGTGATCGGCAGGAGTAACCAGGGTGCACAGGGAGAAGGCTCAGCAACTCCTCTCTGTTACAGGTGGAGCACCACCGGCATCATCAGAAGAGCAGGGAACAATGAGGAATACAGTCCATTTCTGTAGTCCTGGCACATGAAAAGCCCAGGAAGTCTCCAATGTTGAGGTGTAAGGTTTTAATTTTTTTTTTTTCTTTTAAACCAGAGCAAGCAGAGTGCCTGCAGACAGCACCCTTTCAGCCAGCACAAGCAGCTAGGTATGTCTGCCTAGTTGCCAATTTAGTATTATGAAATGCCACTACAAAATAAATCTTTATTTATTTACAATAAAAACCTTAACTAGTCCAAAATTCAATTTATTTCAAGGGTTTAAATATTTGCATTTTCTTCAGTAACAGCTCATTAACAAACTTGAAGCTACCATTAGCAAGATAAAACTCTGGTCTTTTGAGAATCATCATGAGAATTGATCCTTAAAATGCAGAGTTATTGTTGGAAGACCAGTTCTAGCTAGCAGTATTTAACAGTACAAAAAACTAAAATCAGACACTCACACTGCATACATGAAGTAGACAGAAAAATGCAAAGCATCTAGAAGTTTTGTAAACTCTATTCTACACCATCAAAAATTACAACTTCTTAGTTTCAAAAAACATCTACAGTCATGCTCAATCCAGAGCAAAGTGTATTTACTATATTGGCATACCAGACAACATATTTACCCATGCAGAATAACAGGGAAGATCTTGCAGCCAGGATTTTTTTTAAAACACACGAACAACACTACTCGTATGGACTTTAACACAACCCCTTTTCACAAAGATATTGATAGAGAATTCCAACACACAACCAGTTTAAACGAACTCGTTATTACAGAACACTGATAGACGTGCAACATTTGTAGAACTCCTTCAACATGCACACAGCACTTTTACAAAACACCATTTTTTCTAAAACATTTAATAGATGCACTGGTGAAAGTATAAAAATAAACACAATCACTCTGTTAAAAAATCAGTGCAAAAGTATAATTTTCTTCTCATTTGAAAATATCTACTTTTTTTTTCAGATACATTTAATAGTATTAATCTCTTACAAAAAGTGAGAAGTCCTGCACAACTTCTAATTCCATCTCTGCTCATTCTGAATTGCATGACATACCCTAGTATTCCACGACCTTTGATCAAGACATCTTAAACTCTATTTAAATTAAATTAGACAATGTTTAAAAAAAATAAAACCAGTATTTCTAGCTCTGTTCTAAGTTTATTAAATATTTGAGTTATGCTCGATGGTCTCAATAAATTATGTGATTTACTGAGTGTCCCATTTGCAATCATTTCTAATAGGGGGAGATATATCCATCTTAACTCATTGTTTGTATCATTCAATAAGAAGTCCTAGCTTTCTTAAAGAACAACATAGCACAGCATTCCTAGAGTAACAAATTATAATTCAGTCTGAAGAGGGACTACACTTGTCCTGTATTTCAAAAAGAAGTTGAAAAATACTTTCAACTGTCAAAGAACTGTTCAATTAAAGGCTGCTTTAAACTTCACAATCCAGAAGTGCTGTAAGAGTCCCTTTTCTTCCAACAACTCGCCACTGAAAGGCTGACATCCAGTCCTACCAGTCATTTAAAGAATGTGTGCAAAATTAATTTAATTCGAATATTCTATGAAGCAGTTAATTTTACTAAGATCTCAGACATTAAAACAATGCTTCCTGTTAAAGGGACACCTGCAGTAGCCAGTGTTCAAGGGCTCTTGTTCAGCTATTAAACTATAAAATAACTCTCCACCCAAATCTTATTCCAAGATATTTTCTCATACGTTTCTTTGTTAAAACAAAGATCATATTGCAAATCTGAAATCCTGACCAGTTTTTTAGAGGGAGTTGGGTTTGTTGGGGTTTTTTCCACACAATATGGGAGAAGGTCCCTTTAACGAGGAAGAAAACAGGTATCACTTAATCAGGATGTGGGAATGGAATCTGTACCTATGGGTAAATGGCAATGCGTTCTGGGTTGGTTCAGCCCTTGGTTCTGAGTTCGGTGTCACTTCTGGCGTTGCTCTCTCATCATCTGTCCCGTTAATGCTTTCTGGCGTTAAAGGAGACTGAATATCCCCTCCAGCTGATTCCTTCAGTAAAACAAACAACACATTAAAGTTACAAACTGACCTGCTTGGGAAGGCTATGTGTGTATAAGCACTAACATTAATTCTTAAATGATACACAAATTTTAGGTAGTATTAATGTGAAGCTCAAATTTTCAGCATCCTTCCTTCATGGTCATATTTCATCATGTGAGCTTATTTTAGAAGTATGTTACTGTAAGATTCACATTAACTTGTACAAAACACAGCTGACCTATGAATTATGTGCATGTATCCAGCCTCCTGTTTATTACAGACCTGTCCCTATCACCTGGTATTAAATTCAGGGCTCATTCTGCTACGCGATGGGTGACTATTGACACGCAGGATTCTTATCTCTTACTTCATATTCTAACATGGTGAAACAAAACATTCTGACCATTGTTTCAAAACCTAGACTTCATATTGTTTATTAACCAAAGTGAACAGTGGAAAGGCCATTGGTGACGTGTGCCAGTTTCAACCTTAAGCCATCTGTAACGAACACGTGCTCAGCAGAGTCCTTGCAAAACTTCTGTAGGCACATTATCCTGGCCTAGCTCTTCTTGGTCACTGTATTATCTGGGAAGGAGAATACTCCAGCTATAGCCAGGCAGCTTCCACTACTGCTACATAACCAGACACATGAAAAACTTAATGGCTGCCTCCCAGCAGAAGGCAATGGTGTTGTTTTTAATCACCCGAACAGGTGCATTTGTGTTTTGTCCCACAAACAACATTTGCTAATTTCTAGTCACTGAAAAGTACTTCTTTTGTATAAAAAAAAAGTACACCCTTGTAGCCTACATCCTAAGTTAGAATACTATAGGCTTTTCAGTCCCTCCATGTGGTTTAATTTTAGTATTTTCTCTCCTATCATATTCTTTTTTAAGCAATGATTTTTGAAGGAGATACGTGAGTCACATAAACTAAGTAGCTCGTCTCCAATTTAAAAAGTTTTAGTAGGCTTTTAGTAGCCAAGTGGTACCATTTAACTCTAAGATAGAAGAGTTTCATGACTGAAGTTCAATGAATGTCATCGAGGGGTGTCTATACAGCAGAGGACTGACTGAATTACAGTATTTCCAAAAGCTAAGAATCTCCTATGACCACACGGCTTTCAATCATCTGCATGGGGAGCACATAAAACCACTATTTAATGTTATTATACTGAAGCACAAGCACAGTCTCTGGAAGGCCAACAGCTCCTCTTCCCAGCTCTCTGACACTCTGCATAGGAAGCTGAAGAAAGCAATCTCAGAATGAACTGCACAGTATCTGAAGATGACAGAATCACAGAATAGTTTGGGTTGGAAGGGACCTTTGAAGGCCATGGTCATGATCTTATAAGATCAGGATTCAATTCTAAGCCTCCACTTGTAGCCTTCAAATAGTTTACATGAATAAGGTTTTTGAAAGCCAAAATTAAATCTGATCTTCCATCTGTAGGAGATGTCCTTGATTTTGAGACTTAACTAGATGGAAAAACTCAGTTCTTTTAAAGAAAGTAAGATCTGTCTGTCATCATCACCTTCCACATCTTTCTGGCCTTTCTTAACCAAGAATATTGTTGTTCAATGTTTTCACTGCACTTTAAATTACATTAAGCATTTGCAGCACAACAATTGTCCAATTTTTTTTTTTATTCTGCCATATTTGTCACATAGTGAGAGATGTATATCACTCTACAACTTGTATTAGTGGGTGATACAACATTTAATAGTGACTTCAAGTTCTATTATATTTAGCATTCACCGAAACATAAAATACATATGCACCAGTGTTTCCATTCTGCATCTTCTTATGTTCCTACTGATTAAAAAGCAGAAGTCATTAGCTCATACTGATTTAAGTCCACAGATATAAACTTATTTATAATATAAATGTATTTAATTTTTTTTTTTACATTAATGCAAATTGCTACCTACTTTCAGGAAGAATCTTGTTATTTTATACTCAGAATTATCTTTTGTGTTAATACTTTCTAAGTCAAAGTTAAATCTTCATTTTTACAGAACAATTTTACTGAACTGAAACAGAATGGAAATTAAGTGTGAAAGGAGAACAGAGTTGGCAAGATAATCAGGCAAATGAAATATTTTATACAAATTATATGGTTTTGTCTATTATTATCCTCTGATTTGATAAACAGTTTCCATTGATATTAAATGAAAGCCTTTATGGACCCAAGAGTTTCTCTTTTATTTCCTTTTCTTCCTAAACTACACAAGATACTCTAAAAAATACACACCACATCCTACAAATTCTGAATGGCTTCTATCTCTTAAGATAAAAATCCTATATCACTATTATTAGGTACATAAAGCCAGAGCCTACTTATTAAAATGTTTTCAGTGTGAATGCATAAAAATTATTTCAGTAAAAGAAAAACAAATATGCAAGTTCCATCTAGGCTTATTTTTCCATAAAGCACTTTCATAGACTTCTAATGTGAATGAAACTCGAGTGGCAAAAAACAATGCAGACAAACATCACAGCCTATGTAATACCTAAAGGTTCACTGCCTGCAAATTCATGAGGGGCTGGTTTTGTATATACAAGAGAACCATCAAATTCTAGTATATATTTTTTCCACCTATAATACAGGTTAATCAGTGCTCTCAGACACTTGCAGCTATCCCTGCCTGATGCACAGGATACATAGGATATGAATAAAGCACCAAATACAACAGAAAAAGCTACTTAACACTGAACAGATATTTTAAAAATGTTTACAAATAGTATGTCCATACTTTGTATTAATTAGAGAGAGTAAAGAGTTTTCGAAACATTTTTGTGAGATGTTCATATGTAATGAAGTTTTTATTCCATACCGTCATAGCTTCACACATCTACTCCAAATACTGGGAGTTAGAGTTGGGAAAGGAATCATGATCAACTTAAAAAGAGATTTCACCCTTCCTTTCCAGGTAGGAGGGCAGGTTAACTCACATTCAACAGTATAAACACTATATGGAAAAAAGGGTGCTTAAATTGAAAATGTCACGTCTACCTGTAAATCGATTATATACTTTAAGACCTGATATTTCCCATTCATGACATCTGGATTAACAGGATTAACTACTCTTCAGAGGTATAAAACTGTTATGGTATCATATATAGGTTTCTGGTGGATATAGTCTCTCACCAGTCCTAGATTTACACACAGGCTCAGGATTAGTATTTTTCTGCACGACCAGTAAATGTGAGAGTCTGACTCAGGTATATTTTGCTACTTAAGAGTTTGACAGAGATCTGCACTGTCTAAAGGAGCTCTGGCCCTACTACTGAGTATGCAGGACACCGGTGATGCCAAGCAGTATAAAAATGACAGTGCCCACAGTATAGAAACTAAACATAACAGGGGAATTCATTGAAAGATGTCTTAAATTTTGAAATCTTATAAAAAAACACATGTTCTCACAAAAAAGTGAAGTGAAACAAGCAGACTTCACAGGACAGATCAAGTCACCTTTTAATGGTGACTAAATATGTAACAGAAGAAGAAGAGTAGGTGGTTCAAAAACCATGAACAAAACAAACCAGTTACAGCTTGTTTTCTTATTAAGTACTATGCTGTTTTCTCATTAAGTACTACACTGTTTGCTCATTAAGTATTCCACACACTTTGCTGGTATTGCTTCATAGTACTTCTCTTATTCAGTACTGACTGGCAATGGCATGTCTGCCAGCTACTGACTCAGATACTATAACACATGTGAAACACTTGTTCCAGTATTGAAACTCACTTAACATCCCAGAAAGTTACTTTTACTACAAGCCTTTTAAGTAAATTTTGTAATTCTAGAAAAAAAAAGGAAACAGCTAATAAACCGTGATGATTTTGCCAAAACCAAGTCATTCCTTGCACTGAAAAAATGTTGTGATTCTGTAAGTTTTCAGGCAATAGCTATTCCTGACAGTCTGCATAGGAGGGGCTCAGAATCACAGACAAAACTATTTTGAGCAAGTTACTCACCACACAACTTAAGAAATTAACAGAGGTCTTAATCTGAAATGGCCAGGGTCAAAAGAAACACCTGAGGACAGGTTCTTGCTTAAAGAAGAACTGAGGTTCAGAATCCAGCTGTTTGTAGGACTGATGGTGTGAGACTCTAAACTTCACCAACTGCTCCATTTGGTTCTGTATTTGAACCTAATCGAGGTTACTTTAAAAAAGTAAGAAAACTGGACAGGGAGGGGTGGGGGTGGAGATACAACACAGTTTTCAGGCTATTGTTCCACATGGCTCAGTGAACTCCAGATGGAAGTGTTGCTGTTTCAGTATATAGGCAAGCTTACAACTGAAAATAGACCATGAGTGGCTTGTCCCTGTAGGGTCCATGAGTTTATGACATAAGCAAAATAACCCCCTATATCAAAAGATGTGAGCCATTATTTTAGTTTTATATAAACAAGATAAAAGCCTTATGAAGCTTTATTACCTAAGACTGAGTTAAAGGGATGTCAGATGAGTTACCTATGTGTACAGGTGGTCTTAGAAGTATCAAAATAGACAACTTCCTTCTAGACCAAAGTCTCTGGACATATCAGAAACAGATAAAGATTATATTATTATGTGTATCCATCTTAATACAGAAGGGTCAAAAGTAGAAGTACCCTGACAGAGAAACAAAGCTTTCTTCTTCCTTTCAAGAAAGCACTGTGCACTTGGTGGGACTTACACATAACAAAGCAGCACCTCTCTTCTAATTTGTTAGTCCAGGCCACTGTGGAACACGTTAAGTTTTTTTTACAGTCAAGGTAAATGGTGACTTTACATGTTATCTGATATTCTGGGAAATAAAAGCAAGTCTGCTGGGTAAATAGGAGAATAGGCTGTATCAAAGAAACTGTAAGAATGAAGAGTTTAAAATTAGCAGCAGCATAGCTCAGAGGAAAAGCATCTCTTGCTATTAAGCAATCGCAAACTGGGCTATGTGTTGCTTTCTTTCTGTGATGTGTTTCACACACAAAGCCAAAGAAAACATGCCATCAGATAAACAGTATATGCAAAAAACACTCAGCATGGAACTACTGCCATTGAGGTACTTTTCTGGTGGAAATACCTACCCAAACAGTATCAAAACTTTGCTAAACATGGCTAACTCTATTAATTACTTGAACTACAAACACAGATTTTATTTATGATAGATTTCTGTTATTATCTCTTGTTTTCTATTTCTCCTTAGTTTCACAACGAGTTTTAGTAGGATGTTCAGAATTTAAACTCACACATAGCAGTAGTGTTTGCAGGGTTACATCAAACCATAATGAACAGCAAATACTTTGTGCAAATACTCTACCAGCTGTAGAGGTATTTTAATAATAATTCAATCTGTAGAGACACACTGCATGCACAGAAAATCACATATACTTTTTATATTTTAGAATTGTGTAGCAGAGAGGGTGGGCAGTGTGCCATATCTGGTACTTTAATTAACTGGTAAATAGTAAGGGTATTTTTTAAAGCAGTACCAAGAGAAATGTAATATTTTATTTAAGTTTGACATGTATATGTTCCAGTTCTGACATGCAGTATCTTCCTACATATTATTAATTCAATGCAGAAGGATATCTGCAATTGCAAGAGAGCAGAGGGATTGATACGTGTAGCTAACTGGGTTACTGTTGCAGACCTCACTATTCTCATCCTACCTCCCAATGCCTTTAGTGTCAAAGCTTCCTAAAAAAGCCAGGCTCCAGTGACGTCTCAACTGGCTACTGAAAATACCTCCTTCCCCTTTTACTCTCCCTCTCTGCAAAGCATTTCTACACAAAAGGAAAAGAGTAAGGGGTAAAATGATTGAGAAAGGCAACACTTGAATTATTTGCCTTGCAGCCATTTTTTGGCAGATGATCAAAATGACAGCAAGTGCTCCTTCAACTGTCTCTAGCATCCCACCTTCCCCCTTTGCAACCAAGCACCCATCTTCTCCCCAGTGATGAATCTCTTTGAATGAGCCCCAGTGCTATGGAAGTGCTACAGTTTGCCACGAAGCCGTCGTTTCTCATCTGCTCCAAGCTACAAAGTTCCTGATTCAACTCCCTTCTCTCTGGGGAACTAATGGGACACATGAAGTATGTGCGGACTATTATGCTGATGTGTCAGCACTTGCACTAACTGTATCTTTCAGAATAATACGCTAATTTACCAACACAGCAAAAAGCCAAGAGATGAAAAGTAAGGCCTGAATATGAAATTATTCCTAAGTGTTCAGTAATTAAATTGCAGCTCTCAAAGTGCATTATAGAATTGCTCAAGGTAACATTTCTCTAACCGTGTAAGATGTTAGGTTCTAAGTATGAAAGGAAATGTGTACCGGGAAATGAACGTTATTAATAGCTCATACAGTTTAAGAGAAAGCTGTAAGCCTGGGCAGCTGTTAGACGAAAAGCATCTTGTCTCTGAGTGAGTAGTTCAAATTTATGTCCAAACCAAACAGTAAGTTACTCCATTTGACAGTGTCAGATTTAACTTCTGAGTCCAGACTATTAATCAACATGTCAAAACAGAAGGAGAGTAACTGTTACGTCTATAATATGAGTAACTAGAGGCCTGGCTGAAGCACTTCATTGTTTCTAAAGCCAAGTGTATATTAGGTTATAATATTGAAATACCTACTTCCATTACCTCTGTGTTTATTTATGGAATTTATCAGACATTTAGAGACAGTCTAGAAAACTAATAAAAAAAAAGACTGCCTTATTTTTCTCCTGTTACATTAGAGCAAGCAGTTTCCTGTTAACAGCAAAAGCCAATCTAGCACTTGGGCAGAATGCCTACTGGGAAAACAACATGAAGTCAGGTCATTGTGTATATTCTTGTGGTTTCCACTGACTTCTCTTGGAAGGGCACCAGCTTTCTGGTGGCAATAAAACTATTCGTACAGCATGTTGCGAGCTGCCTGCCATCCCTGCTCCATCGAAGATCAGGGTGCAAAGCACCCAAGAGATACATTGATTCAATGAATGAAGAGTTCCCAGCAAAACGAGTCAGCTGCATTAATCCTACACAACTCAGGAACCCCCGAGGTAGTCTTAAAGCTGCTTCATCCTGCAAAAGAAGCAATTACCTTTGTCTTCACTATTACTTAAAACAAAGCAAATAGGTATACACAGAGTCAGAAACACTGGGTGTGGGGAGAGAAGTGGTGTAAAAGCCTCATGCAATTTCTTTTTTCAAAGTAAATTTGAAATATTTGTTTTCAAGTAAATTTATTTTAGGCATGAGTAATGTAAATGTGACTATATTAATTTAACCTCCTGTGAGGCCTATATTAACCCATTTCATGCTTTGAGATACTTTTTATAAACTCTTCTTTTACATTGTGGCTAACTGTGGCAAAGCTCCAGAACTAGCATGTGAATCTGTCATCTGTCATTTAATACATTGCACATGTGAATACTACTCAGGAGGAAATAAGTAAAAAACAGTTTGCTGCTTTAACTTTGATTTCTGTTGTAATGATTCTTCTATAAAAGTCCTTTACAGTGCATTGCCTGAGGTGTCGTCATATGAAAACCCACAAAAGCTGTTTACTATAGATTTATTTACATAACTGCTCACCATGTTTACTCATTTTCTGGGGAAAGCTCAAAGAAAGGAATAGGAATTAACAGAAGGCCAAAGTTATTTTAAAGCAAGTTCCTTTGATAGTTCTCTACTGTATGTTACATGTATTCTTAGACTTCTTAACACTTCTATCTGACTGTTGAGAGGATTCAGGGTGACTGGGAAGTACCCCCTTCATTTTCAATGTCGTGTGTGTAAGATACAATACAGTAAGTAGCACTGATATGAAGTACTAGGACTGATCCACGCCATAAGACTCACTTGAGAGGGTGTACTTGTTAGCTCCATCTTTTCTTGGGATTTTTCCTTTGCTAGTCGTGCAGCTTCTTTGAATTCCTGAAATTTTTCAGCAAACTGAAGGTACATATGTTTAAAAAAAAAAAAAGGGGAGGGGAAGAAAGAGAGTAGGCGTGAAGTAGTACATTACATGCAGAACAGAATGCTGTACTTAACATTTTACAAAGTCAAATTCTGTCAGTAGGATTTTTTAATTTTTCTCCTCATTAGATAATCATTTAAGTGAGTTACACAGTGATATACCCCTCAGTACCTTTCAGACATAATGTACACTGTTATATGTCAGGCAAATTATGATGCAATGAAGTCTGAACTGTTGCTGATAGTGTTAAAAAGCCCAGCTCAGAGATGGCTAATAATAGTGACAAGCTGCCCTACACAGCTGCTTTCAGATTCAAGTTTTACTCTCCTCCTGACAACAAATGATCTGGTTCTGAAGCCTACTGTGGTCACCATTAGGCTAGAGCTTTCATTCTTTCAGGACTGTATACTGATTTCTTCCCAAATTTTAACAGCATTTATAGTTTCAATAGCTAATTAGGAAAGCAGCAGTGGGAATACTGAGTCAAATTCATTTCTTGATTGTGCACTGACATCAATCAAGTTAAAGAACAAATTCATTTAGCTAAATGCTTGCATATACTGAACACTAAACTCAAGAACTGCACAATGAACTGCCACATGAAGCTTGATTTCTATGCTACACGTATCTCTTCCAGAGAATATCTAAAGCAGCAATTCAGAAATATATGCACCCATAAACTTGAGAGATTAAATCAATTTATTAAGAATAGGGTCTAGTTTTTCTGGCTAGAAAAAAATTTGGCTTCATAGATCTCAGCTTGACACTACACTAATTGCTATAGTATCCAAGCATATGTCTTTGTTTCCTACTGCTTTTATACAGAAAATTATCTTATTATGATCAGCTTCCAACTGACGTTATTCTGCAAAAGCATTGGAAGCTTCGCTATCAGCTTCTAAATCTCTCCGGCAGCAGCATACAATGAAATTGTTTTGTACTGCACGGATTTAGAAGGGACAAAGGCTACCCTTTGTGTGACACAATCCCCTCAAGTATTTTCAATGAGAACTTCACTTGCTATGCAGGACCTAAAAACCTTATTGTCTTTAAACAACTTATTCTGGTGGGCTATTAGTATTTCAGGCAATATTGTTTCTTTCCACTTGTGTCCTTAATTTCAGCGGTCAGGTTATTTAAAAGCATGTATTTGCTGAATGTAGAAGGAGAAAAGATACTACCCTGAAAGTCTAATCAATCCAGCCTCAAAAAATGTCTCAGAACAGATGATAAAATTGGTAAAAGATCACTAGAACTAGATGATACCTATTTAAGACTTGTACCTAGACCTCAAAATGTGATGGGTAACCGACTATTTAAGTCAGCTTTAAGACCAGAGGATTGGTAAATGGAAAACATGATACTAAGGTTTAGAATAAATGGCTGAAGATATAAAAGGCAGTAAATAGATCTTCTGTATCACAGTGGTAGAAATTGAAAAAAAACCCATAATAAATAGATAAATAGATAACATTCTAAGAAAGAGCCAACATGGCTAATGCAGTGGAAATTTTCAAATTTACTAGAATTCTTGAGATAGTCAGGTGATAAATAATAGCAATCTCTTGATAAAATTACTGAATAACAAAGATGAGTACGAAAGGAAAGATTCATATCTATATCGTATTGAAAGGAAAGGTTCTCTGGAGGATCAATATCTTAAGGAAAAGATGAAAAGTTGTGCGAAGAGACTACAAGAGGCTCTTGCAACTATCTGTCATGGCACTTTTGCCATTTAGCATACTCCTAAGTTAATATGGAATAAATCATGTCAACTAATTCAAAAGGGTAAGGCAGACTAAAAACCTGAAAATGAATATATTTTCTCATACATCAGATATCAGTTTTCTCTGAAAATCATGGGACATTCTATTCCTTCTACTGCAGCAGCAATAGGCACTCCGCTAGAAAATCCTGATTCTTTGAAATGAATATTCTTCAGCATAGGAACCATCTTTCAGGAATCATTGACTTCTGACAGAACAATCTTGAGGTGAATTTGTGGTCTAACACATTTAGAAAAGGTCTAATGAAGAAAAATAAATGTTTAATTAATTTTCCTCTCTACAGTTTGTATGCAAAGTTGATTACAGTGCCATTAATTTTCTATCAGATATTCTCACTCCACTAATTCTCAGTCACAATAATTGTACAGAAAGAGGTTATCGCTGTTGCACTCTAGCCTAGTAATTATTTTAGGAGGATCAAGACACATGAACAAAACCAAATAGTCCAAAAGTCAAACATTTACTATAAGCTAAGCAATGATCTGAGAATGAACAGTTCTGGTCTGATTATTTGCTTCATTAACCTGTTGATATCAGTCACAGACTAGACTAAGTTTTTTGTGGTTGCAGGCTCTCTTTTGCTCGCTGGAACTTGAAATATGTCATTGGGGCCCAGAGACACTACTGCAAAACAAATTACATACAACAAGGCTGTTCACTTAAGGACTTTGATATATCAAAGACAGAAAAGAATTTCCAGAATCAACTTTAAGGCAACTTCTAGAAACAACCTGTTTCTAAACAAATCCGTAGTACAGTTTATTTGTTAGCCCTGTTACTAATATCCAGTAGTACCTGGAGCCTTAAATTAGATTTCATGTCCTAGAGTGCTGAGTGTACCAAAGAGCACTCTGGTAAACTTGACTAAAATGCCAGCACACGCAAGTGAGAGTTAGTAATCTCAGCACAGAGACAAGACAAGATAGAAAATACAGATGTGATTTCTCTGAAGATACACAGCAGATCTAGGGTTTCTAATTCAGCTTTTCTGATTCCAAGGTCAACATATCTACCAATTCCAGTGACTGAATAGACCGTAATCTAATGAAAGGTTTCCCTTCCCCCATCAAATATATTTTAAAATAACACAAAAAGTTTTACCTTTATGAGTTTTAGTAGCAGCAATCAGCAATTTCAAGTCACATGAATATCAGTTTAAAAATTAAGATATAATGCAACAGGAACAGTTTGTTGAAAAGGTCCTGAAGATTCATCACCATAAGCTTCAGTAAAGGTCTGTGACTTGGTATTTTTCTCAACAGATTTGTGTATTCTTTTTAAAACACAGCAATCTGAGTAACTGCTTATCAAACACGTACTTAAGCCAAAATATATACTGTTGCTTTTCAGATATATTTTTTTCAAATTCATCTGAAGACTACCTACATTTTTTTTTTCCTAGAAGATCTAAATACAGAAGAAGCACTAAATTGTCTATTCCTTTAAATTCTATCATGAAAAACCGTAATAGAAGAACAACTTTAAAAAAAGAGAAACCTAAAAAATTAACAGAAAGCATTAATAAGATACAGTGTGACAGCTTAAAGCTCTCTCCTCCATCAGCTCAGAGCAAATTTACAGGTATCGTGGTTTGTCTTGTCTTTTTACATTGTATGGATCAACACAGGAAATAATAATTTTTAAATAAGAACAGTAATGAGCACTGAGTCAAGATACAATGAACAGGAATCAGATATTCTCAAGCCACTTGACTAGCTCAAAAATTGCCCCTGGTTATACTTACTTTTGAAAGGTGATGTTCAGATGAAAATCCCAAGCCATAGACTGTATTCGCTCTGCTGTCTGCCCACTGGCCAAACTTCTGGGATGTTTTAGTAAATGTCATGTTGGGGGTGATAGTGCTATTTATTATTGCCTG